GGGGGGGGGCTAAAAGTGCCCGCGCCAACTTTGATGTCACCTAGCGTCTGAACGGCTAGCGCTAGAACGGCTAAACTTGGTGACTTTTTCTCGAATATTGTTGGCGACAATTCTTAATCATTGGAATAAGATAATATTTTTTAGGTTACCATGGCATTTTTTTGCCAAATTTATTATTTTTGTTTCAACAATAGAATTTTATGGGTTTTATGTCAAGTTACTTATGGTTTCTAATATTAATAAGATTCCATTGAATCTTATGTAAATTTTATCGTTAAATATGTATAATTTAAGCTAATTTTGATGGTCATCGGCCAAAATCCAAGATGGCGAACCATGTCATTAGAACAGGTATATACAGGTTATTTTCTTAAACTTCTATCAATACTTCCATTTTTTCAACAAAAAGGTTTAAATGAAGGTCTTTAGTATGTTTGCAATGTACATTAGGCTTTTTCAGGAATAAAATATATTTTTGAAAATTCATGATTGATGATCCAAGATGGCGGATATCTTAAATATACACAACGTCATTTTATGACATCACCGGTGTTGCTATGGGCAACATAAGTCTTAGTACACCCTAATATTCTGTCATAAACACTTTTGGTAAAGTTATGTTGTATACCATTTAGGTTTCCGGGAATAACCTATCTAGACGGTTTTGGCCAATTAAACATCAATGACGCCATAATGACGTCATATTACGTCCTTACAACAAAAATTGTAGATATGATAATTTTTCAACTAGTACACAGTCCTCTTAAAATTTGGTGGCCATACGACATAGCGTTCGCGAGTTCTGAGAGGGGGTATGAGATAGGGATGGAAATTCACGGTAAGGGGAGTTACAGGCAATCTGATCTTTGTCTTCTGGCTTAACTATGTGATGTTTCGTTCTCTGTGAAAAAAAGTAAAGCCCAAGTCACACCTTCCTTTGAATTAGCTGGGGTGTTACGCTTGAAGGGCGGTTATACCGGCTATACAGATACGAAATTTGGCCGGAAAATTAGTCGACTAGGTTCGGCAGAAGACTAAATTTAGGCAATGCCCACCATTATACAGGCAACGGAACGAATTAGAACATTGCTGAATTACTCCTGGTCGGCCAAGGGAGGGGTTCTTCCGCAGGCCTGAGAACACCCTGGAATGGTCTGGATTGAGGAGGCCTTACTCTCCAATCATGTTTGTTTGTTTGTTTTATTTAGAATATTGGGATCTCCATTAGCGGATGGTGATCTAAAGACTTCTGACACTGAGCTCAGTTGGATTCAGTCGTATACGCGACGGGATGATTTATGCACTTTATTCTGTATTCTGTATCTGTAAAGCCGGTATAACCGCCCTTCGGCGTAACACACCAGCTTCGTAGGCACGCGGCGCGACACAACAGATACTAGCGGGTGCAAACGGATGTCTGCGGGATCCATATTACATTTTTTTTTTCAACCATGCAGAATTATGTTGTTTTGCCATACATATTTGAAGAGGAACTAAGTAGAGGAATGAAATTTTAAACCACCTATTAAATCCCGAAGCACGGACTCTAACACAGTAACACTTTGTTACGCTTTCTGGCTCCCCCTTTTTTTTAAATTTCTGGCACACGCTAAGGACAGCGCTCGTTAACAGATGATTGTCAGCTAATTAAAGTGTCAATTATCCGAGATTAGTCCCACCCCGGCCCGTGGCACATTTTATAGACCTTATAGTCCATTTTATAGACTTTCTACCACCAGGCATCGTGAAGCGGGCCGACTCACCTGGCACAACGACTGTCTATTCATGGAGGTAGAAAGTCTATATATATTCAAGGACTATTTGGCCGATTTCTACCCTCGCCTCTAGCCGCTAGCTGAAGCCTGGCAGAGGCTAACGATTATTGGATATATTTCAGGCGGCCAATGGATACATGCGGCCATCATAAAGTCCCCTTGCCCCTCCGAATCTGCTTGGAGATTACATGTACTATATACCTGTATAATGTTGTATTTGAGCTCTCGGGTGGCACCGTTCTATTTGCAGACACAGTTTATATTAGAGCTCGGGGCCGTCCACCATTCATCTCACCTTACTTTCATACAAATTACAACTATGGCATGCCTTAACCCTACCTAGACGGGGGGGGGCGGCTAAAAGTGCCCGCGGCAACTTTGATGTCACCTGGCGTCTGAACGGCTAGCCGTAGAACGGCCAAACTTGGTGACTTTTCCTAGAATATTGTTGGCAACAATTCTCTATCATTGGAATAACATAATAATTTTTTGTGTTGCCATGGCAACGGGTTTTGTGACAGGCATTTTTTGCTAAAGTTAGTACTTTTTGTTTTAACAATAGAATTTTATGGGTTTTATGTCAAGTTACTCATGGCTTCTAATATCAATAACATCCCATATAATTTTATGTAAATTTAATTTCAAATATGCATAATTTATGCTAATTTGATGACGTCATTGGCCAAAATCCAAGATGGCGGACCATATCATTAGAACAGGTATATACAGGTTATTTTCATTAAAATTTCATCAATACTTCCATTTCTTTACCAAAAAAAGGTTTAAATGAAGGTCTTTAGTATGTTTACGATGTATTTTAGGCTTTATCATAAAAAACTATTTTTGAAAATTCAAGATTGATGATCCAAGATGGCGGATATCTTAAATATGCATGATGTCATTCTATGACGTCACCGGTGTTGCTATGGGCA